ACGAAACCACTACTCGGACAATTGCGGGAAAGTGGTGGAACCCATGGATCGAGAAGTTGCTCTACAACGAATCGGCAGATGCAGGAAGTGTCTGACACTTCCCCAGTACAACTGTGGACCAAAATGTGGAAGGGAAGTTTGTAGATATTGCCATATCGGAACGGACCACCACTACTCACTCTGTCCGACACCTCGAGTAGTCTTCCGACGCCCGGCCGACTACGCCACTCGACGACGTTCTCCATCTCCAGACCAACGACGAAGAAACTCTCCAGACGAATATTTCACCAGACGAGACGATGGACCAAGCACCAGCCGGGGATACGACGAGCCCAGACGCCGTCGTGACAATTCCAGGGACCACTCAAGACGTCGAGACGAGAGCCACGATGAGAGATGACACAAGACGAGCAGGGACAGACGCAATTAAGGAGACGATCACTGCGCAGGCCGGAGTATACTCAATTCTATAAATTTCGTATTCTTTTTATATTATTTATGTATAATCCTCTCCTCCATTTCTCTATTTCCTTTATCATTGCTCATTCCTAACGCCCTCGCTCTCACTGTACTTTACACCCTCGAACGATCTCTCACTCCACCCAACGCTCTCTCCCCATGACGCATTCGTCCCAAGACCTTTGACTCCGCCCCCACCGATCTGACGACCAGCTTGCATCATTCCATCCCTCATTGTTACATTCTTCCCAACAGGAGACGGTCGCCCAAGACCGTCCTCCACCTTTTTTCCCCCTTTTTCTTTCTTTCTTTCTTTACTTTGTTACTTGTTATAATTTGTATACTTTGTTATATAAATGGTTTAATTACCCAAGTTTGAGATACCACACGTGTCATCTACACGAGTAAAAGCATTCTACCACACACTAGCTGGAATTGCCATAGGACAAGGACAGCTACACACCCGACCACCATTTGCAATTTTAGTTTAACCTCCATTTCGATGTTCAGTTCATTTTGAAATTATTTTCTCTCACTTTTCGAAATGTCTTCCCTTTCTGAAATGCCAGAACTTGTATTGGAAAACATCATTGGGTTTTCAGATTTCAAATCTGTGTGAGTTCATTTTCAGATTTTCATTTTTTTAACAAAAATATTTTCAGCCTGATGCTTCGCCAAGTTTCCAAAGATTTCCTAAATTTCATAGACAAATTGAACGATTCGAAACTGCCGGATTCCGAGTTTTCGAGAATTGACATGATAGTGAATGAGGATATTTGTCTGAGATATATGGATTCAAATAATTTTCAAAACGAATTTCTTTATTCTCAAATGGATATCCTTCGAAGTTTCAATGGAAAAATGACATTTCTCGGAAGTTCAAGTGTTATGGAGGTTGCAATTCGAGATTTGGAATTGGTTCTGAAATTTCAGAAATCCAATTTAAAATGTCTTCATTTCCATTTGGGTTCATCATTTGAAACGTTTCCTGTTAAACTGAGCAATATGTTCAAAAAGCTCAATCGAAAAATCAAAACAAAAACGTTAATTATAAAATCTGATAGTCAGTCAAAGATTATGTCAATTTTACCGTTTGTTGAACCGGAAACTTTGGAATTTATCAATTTATACGCACTGAATCGAGACATGGAAATTGAAATTAATGAAATTGTGAAAACTGAGCAAAAAAAATGGGAAATCGAGACAAAAACTGTTTATTTTTCTCATAAATTTAGCAACAATAAACGGAAGATGAATGATATACGTATTAGGTTGGAAGGAAATTAACTGTCCATTTTTTAATTCGTGTAAAACAGAAAAACAAGATCAATCCAAGATTGACAGTATGCACCGTCGTGGTCCACGACATGCTGCCAACATTCAGGAAACTTGTGTATACCATACCTCCAAAAGCCAGCTAGCCGCGACTCAAAGTATTTTTTCAGCCCAGATTTTATCTCATCTAAAATGTTGTACTATTTTCCCCCAGATGACGTTGCATCTCCTTATAGCCAAGAATAAAAGTGCCAAATCAGGAGTTTGAGGTGGCGTAAAAAACAACCGTCCAGCTAAAGCGGTCCAGGCTTACAAGGGAACATTTTTCAGACAACGGTTGAGAATTTGCTCAAAATTTGCATACTTATATTATATAATAGTGATCTTTTCGATCGGTCTTTACATCATCCTATCGTTAAGAAACGGGAACTTCAGCCCCTGAAAATTGCTCAATTTTGCTCTTTTCGAGGAGGGGTATGGCTAAATCGATCATATACAAAATTTGAACCAATTTCGATAGGTTTAAGTTAATTTCAAACAATTTTTAAGAAGTTTGGGGTTGATAAAGTTCTAACAACGACCAGATTTTGGAGATTTTTCGAGCCCAAAGACGAAATTGGACTGTCAAATTTTGTTAGAGTGATATTTACATCGTTTCTGAATAATTGGAACATTTTTTCGAACTTTTCGAAAAATTTTCAAAAATTCTAAATTTTCAACCGTTGTCTGAAAAACGTTCCCTTGTTAGTTGACTTCCCGTGGAACATGGGATCTCGCTTTATTTAAGGAAAGCCAATTCAGTCCTACGCCGTTCTAAATCGACAGCTGTCCACGTTCCTTAAACTCCAGACTTGACCCTTTTATTATTAACTATTCGAAGATATGCAACGTCATCTGGAGAGATAATAATTTTACACTGTCGATGAGATTAAAACGGCACTGAAAGTATGCTTTGATTTGCGGCCAGCTGGATTTTGGAGGGATGGTATCCCCAACTTACCTGAATGTTGGCAGCATGTCGTGCAGCACGACGGTGCATACTGTCAATCTTGAATAATTCTTGTTTTTGTGTTATTCACGATTTAAAAAATGAACAGTTACTTTCCTTGCAGCCTATTAGGTTGAGCGAAAAGTCTTTGTAATTTTTTTTGGACCGTCATATCTCAGCGTTGATTTAAAGGTGGGGGGACATGAAAAAAATAATGTTCTCGAAATTCCGTTCAAAGATGCCCCTCGAGGAGTTGAACTTGTGAGGGCGATGATTGAGGGTGCGGCGCCGCTACCGACTGAGCCACGCGGGCAGAGAGAAAGCTCACGCCTGATTGCATACATAAAGGCGAGGACGACAGCTGTACGCAGAGTGACATTAAGCGTCCAAGGTAACAAACCTGGTCCAAGGTAACAAGTGAAGTTATACTCTAGATTGAAAACGTGTCTACGAATTTTCCTTTTCGTCAAAGTATATCGTTTCCGAACACATGAAAAGGCTTTTTGCTCTGGAACCAAATGAGCCAGAAAACCAAGCGTGCCATTTTCGTGTTCTTCTACCAATTGCTCATCCCATTTTGAAATGTCGCCGGTCAATTGGTATCATTGAGAATCATTGAGAGCATGACTTTCGTAGCAAAAAGCGTCTTCGTTTCCTGGCCCATAGAACTTTTGGAAGTTCGGAACAAGAGAGCTATCCGAGTTCTCATTTGCTTTTTTTAGGACTTTGTTCCACTTCTGAAAATTATAAAACGGTAAAGAAACATAATTCAAAATCATCCTCACCAATTTGTACATGTTTGAAATGTTCATGGCTTTTGCGTACTCTCGTCTTTAAAAATTGAGCTTGGTAAGAACTTTATCCTTTTTTCCAATGCTTTGAGAACCTTCGTTGACTAGATTTCGTGGTCGACACAGTCCCTCAACATTCGTATCACATCCACATGCAGAGCCAGGCCAGCCTTTTTTCCAATTCATTGTTTTCTTATATGAGTTTCTAAAAAGAACCGATTTCCATCTAGCTTACTTAGCTGGTTGGTTTTAGGAAAAATCTAAATCCACTCGATCAAAAACCTAGACCTCCAACCCTATATGATCCCTGAACTCACTCTGGACCCAAGTAGCAAATTGTTCTATACAAATTGGAACCTTTCCATGGAGACTCCCATCTGTACATGTTCTCACGAGAATCACAAGCGATGCTTGTTTGAGTTGGCAAAAAATGCTCAAACGGCCAGTAAGGCCAACGATTACTGTCAATACTAACGTTCATTATCTCCCAAAATCGTTCTCTCCCAGAATCGTTGTGTATTTCAATTAGGAGTTGGTCCAAAACGTATACTTCCGATGCAATAGCATTCTGATCTCGTCCTATCAACATTTCGCGGAAACTCGAATTGGGGGAACGATATTCGGGCCAAAGTATTGGGTTCAGCTTCTCATCCCAGTGCTGGAAAACAAACAATCGATTGAAAATCTATTAAATCTCACTCACCAGTTCATACATGTTTGAAATGTTCATACGCTCGGCAAACAACCGTCGTTCAAAGTTCAATTTCCCGATGAGCTCTTCATAGCGATGGGGTGTCGATTGACACAGAGTGGATCCAATGAGCAATGCTCCAAAGAGCAAGAACTTCATCTTTCAGTGGTTTTTAGAGGTCCAAAAAAAGAGACAAATTGTAAAGTTTCTGTGGAGGAGAGCGCTATTTATAGTGTTTTAATGGAGGCATGACACTTGGTAAGAGGTTATGTTTGGGAATGGGTCGGGTCAAATTACGGGTTTTTTGTTCGTGAAAAAAAGTTGAAAAAAACGAAAGCTGCTAAAGGGGCTTTTTACCCAAAATTTTTTTCTAAAAAAAAAGATACAACGTGATTTTTGGGTCATTGACGATTCCACATAATTAATGTTACCCTTTGAGTTTTCTGACAAATTCTCAATTCGGATCACTTTCTGGAAAAAGTTTCACTATATTTTTTAGAATCTGAAACCGATTTTTTGATTTTCATAAATTTCTCGAAAAATCTGTTTTTTTTTTGAAAAATTGGTGATGACAAAATTTAGTACGCAACCTGATACTTCTAACACAGTTAACTGATTAAGAAACTTTTTGAAAATTGGCCCAATCTGAGGTTTCGTCAAAAAACCAAGCGGGAAAATAATTAGGTAAAAAAAATCCGTTTCTTCTTATCTGTCGATTTTTCAAAAAGTGTATTTTAGAATATCAAAATTTTATAAATTTTGTATTTTGGTTTCCGGAAATCGATTTTGTGTTTTCATGTTGAGAGAACCTTTCATGAACTTTGAATAACATTGTAATTTTACTTTGAATAAAATTTGTAATTTTTATATCATTTTATTCAAGTTCACTTATATGTCCGAATCCTTAATGCACCACCATCACTCCTCCATTATTGCTATTCCTCTTTCGCATCATGTAAAAGAATCCAGCCGCTGCACTGACACTGATACAAATGAGCACTCCAACCACAATAATGATGATCAGACCGACTGAAGCATTTCGTTTCTCCTCATCCGTATAATCATCCCATTCCTTATCCTTTGCCAAAACGGTTCCAATGATCAGTGAAGCGAGGAGCAGTTGTTTGAAAATCATGTTTCGGTTGATGTCGTCAGGAAAACTGATGTTGCTTTTTTTCTCCTAGTTATTTTCCCAGAATTTATATCAGTTTCTTATCTTTGAAGGTCATCTGTAAACGTGGAATAAAGACGTGATCCAGGTAGTTTTTGAGTGACGCCATCTATTTTTTTTCCAATTAAAAGGAAAACCAAAGGTGCACGGCCCATAAAAAGAAAGCCACCCTACCGGCACTTTGGGCTCAATTATCTCAATTTCTATAAGAGATAACAAAAATATGTCAACTGATAAAATGTTTGCCATAATATCATCAACATTTTATCAGTTGATACATTTTTTATATCTTTCACAGTGATCGAGATAATTGAGCTCAAAGTTGACGGTTTGGTTGGCGTTGTAGAGAAAATTGGACCATGTTTAAACGTCAAAAAAAGTAGTAAATTTTGTTGGATGTCGCTAAAAATTTCCGAGTGTACTAAAAAAAATTAGAGCTTTAATTTTGTAGTTGACAATTTTTTGATGGAAACCGGTCTTCGACCGAATTTGCCACCGCGTAGCTCAGGTGCTAGTGGCGCGGCACCCTCATCTTTTGCCCACGTTTTCAACTTTTTTGAGGGGATTTTACAGGCAAAATTGAAAATTAACTTTTTTTCAAAATTTTCCATATTTTTTAAAAATCTTTATTGACTAATCAAAAGAAAAATGCACACAAGTAAAAAACCAAAACTACAGTAACCAAGTAATTCCTCTCCAAACTCAATTTCTTCGGACCCTCCTTTTCGTTGAAATTCGCCCAATCAAATGTTTCTCCATGATTTGGAATTCTCTTCTTCTTCTCCTTTTTCTTTTTCTTATCTTTTTTTTCGTTTTCGAATTTTTCCGAACTTTCGGTAAAGCTTTTAGGGGCTTTTGGAGTAGTGAAAAGTTTCGAAACGGTCCGGTTTTGATTTCCAGAAGACGTCAGATTCCGAACTTCCGGAGTCGTCAGATGCTGACTTCCAGAAGACGTGACAGTGATATTTTCTGGATCCAGATTCCTTGAAGTGGTTGAAGAATAGTCTTCTCGTTTTCGAATTGGAGACGAACGAGCGCATACTAAAATTCAGAATCTTCCAGAAGACGTCAATTTTCAAAATTACCGATGAGCAAGACTACAAGAAGCAAAAAATTCGTGGTTCTCATTTTATTGAAAAAAACTGTTTTTCCAGCAAAAAATGTTTTGAGCCGTTGGTTTTGGAGGATACTCTAGTGATACGGTCACCTGACCAAGGTTAAGAATTTTTTTCGAACATTTTATACAAAGTTGCTCATTTTTCATCTTAAAAAAGCTTATGCAAAATATAAAAAAAAGGTCTTATCAGAGTTGTTGAGTCGTCTTTTAGCTCTACACAATTCAAAAATGCTGTATGACTTAAACTTAGAAAACGAAATTTCAGATTACCGATTTCATAATTACCATTTTCGTTATCATTAAAAATGACGATTTTCTGCTTCTCTAATTCTTTTTTTTCTTTAAGTGCACTATCTCTTTGAACTGATAAGAAGCATCAGCTAATTTTTTTTTGAATGATGCGAGTTGAAATTCGTTTTTCTTACTTCTAATTTAACAGAACATTTTAAAATGAATATCGGAAACTACTGATGGTTCACATCATTTCGTGAGTTTCCTTATGAACATCTAGTAGAAAACATGCTGAGCAATTCGTAAAACTTTCAGAATTACCAGACTGTTTGGCGCATTTCCGGCGCTTCAAACAACTGGCTGGTGGGCCTTCGGCGCGATTTAGCCTAGTTTTTAATCGTTCGTCGCTTTGCTCCTCGCTGTTTCTTAAAAGGTCACGTCAATTTATATTTAATTTTCAATCTTTTCAAAATGGGCGGACAGATAAACTGACAAAAAAGGGACGCAACTTCATTAAGCATGATGCATACAGTACCAGTCAATAAGATCTACAAAACCATATTTTAATGTTGGTGTTTGGCATTTTCAGGACTCTGGAGCTCCGCTGTCAAGTTTTGGATCACTTTGAAAATTTTGAAGAATGTAGAACAGGAAAACTTTATTGAAAACTTTGCATTCACAGAATTTTTTGAAAATTCCTAGTTTTTCAGCTGTTTGCCTATTTCTAAAAGACACTCCTATATGGAATGCAAAGTTTTAAATCTAGGTCTATTTCAAACCTTCTAAAATTTGACAACCGAGGTTCAGACTCCTAAATGGTCAAAATCAACTGAAAAAACACGTTTTTGCATATTGTAAGAGAAGCTGTCGCGGCCAACGTTATGCTCTTAATTTAGTGACTGTAACTTCTGATAGTTGAATCATTTGTTGGTCTGATCTTGATAAGGTAGCAGGAGTTAAATGAACAATGCTTATCAGTTTGTTCCGGGAGTTAGTCATTACATGGAAACTTCTAGAATAGGTTTGAAGTAACAAGAGACTGGCTGAATCATGGGGTACGACAACGTGTCATTTACCGGTGCTAAACATACGATAGGTTACAGTATCCGAGAGAACATTGGGCCAGAGTATGTATAAGATTTTTAGGTAATTCTGAAAGATAGGTTCAGGGAGTTTATCTGACAGTGCTTTTAAGGGCAAATCATTCTCAACTCCGCACGATCTCAAACAGCTTTCCTCGGAAGGCACCTGTGAACTTTTTTGAAACAGAATAGTTGAAGACGTTATTTCCATACTCCACTACCTTCCTAGTAGAACCCCATCACTTTTAGAGAAGTTCTCATAGATCTACATGTCGGGGAAATCTGGAAGGTGGTTATTATTCTTCCCTGGCCAGCTATGTGTTCTGTTGGATATGCCTCTAAATATGCAGCCATTTGTTTTCAAATATTTATTTTTCTTCTTTATTTCACTGGAATCACAATTTTATCTCTATTCATTTATCGTATGAATGTAGCAACGAAGCATGTGGAAAATCTCTCCGGAGAATTATTTTATTTTTAAAAAACGTATTTTTAGTATCCGGTGCGCTCACATCCATCCTATCAATTTTCATTTATCCGGAACTTAAACAACAGAAAGAGTATTAGGTTGGCGGGAAAGTCTTTGTCACTCTGTTTGTTTAATCACTGTTCTCGTATATGGAGGCTGTGTATGATATCGACTCTAGTGTATAACAAGGTGATAAGAACCTTCCATATAAACAAGTCCCCATCTCCTTCCCTGCTCCTCATCTGTAATTGAAACGATATGTTTGTTCCCACTGCTATTCACATCAGACATGTTTTGATTTACCTCTTCCTATCTCACACCACGATGAAGGATTCGGAAACTTTCTTGAAGAATGTGTACAACACACATGCCCCTCACTACAATACTATTCGCAATTGGTTCCATCGTTTCGAAAAAGATGACTTCTCGCTCGATGAAAAGGATCGCTCTGGGAGACCCCGTGAGTTGGATTTGGACAAGCTGAAGCACGCATTGCAATCGGATCCATTTCAATCTAGCCGTGAACTAGCTGTCACATTCGGAGTTCACCATAGCACAGTCCTTGAAGGTTTGAAGTCTCTTGGAATGAGAAAACTTTTTGGTCGATTCATACCTCATCACCTGACTCAAGCCAACCTTGACCGCCGAGTCGACGATTCGATTACTCTTCTCACTCTCCACGCGGGCGATCGATGGCTGGACCGGCTAATAACCGGAGATGAGAAGTGGGTCTTCTACGATAATCACCACAGGAAATCCCAGTGGGTTGGAGAAGGAGAGAGCCCACAGGATGTCCCCAAACCCGACCTTCATCCGAAAAAAGTTATGCTCTCTGTGTGGTGGGGAGTGGACGGCCCCATCTACTGGGAACTTCTGCCCGAGGGCAAAACAATAACTGGAGACCTCTACACTACTCAACTACGAAACCTCAAGAAAGCAGTCGACCGTTCGGCCATGAAAGACAAGAAAGTGTACTATCAACATGATAACGCTCGCCCACATGTTTCGAAACAAGTGAAGCAGGAGCTGATGGGATATGGATGGAATGTTCTCCCTCACCCCCCGTATTCTCCTGATCTTGCTCCTTCC